CAGTTCAAACTAGTTGGTTTTTCCCGTCTTCCTTTTTGTTTGCTGACCAATATTTCAGTAAAAAAAAATTAAAATATTAAAATTGCTCGGATCATTGACAAAAGTACTTGATGTTGTTGAAGTGCACTCACACACAGTTATGCTCGTCTCTGGATTTAGATCGCCACTGCTGCCAAGGCTTCTTTCGGAGTATCATCCTAGTGGTCATTTTTTTGCCTTGCATGCAATTATTTATTTTAACAAATGACAATTTGCACATGTCTTATATGCAGGAAAAACGCAAATAAAATATGGCAGAATATCACGGATTTTTTCGATAAAATCAAAGCTGTAAGCGTTCCGAAAAAAGCGAGGTACTTTTTTAAGCAATTCCATCTTAACAGCGACAACATTTGAAAAATTTTGAATGTGTGGCCTTCTTTTTCGAAATCGGTTTCTCCACTGTTTCTTCAGACGTTTCGAAAAATTCATGATATTCACCTCGTATATTCGCCAGGCTGCGTTTGTTAAAATGCTTCACCAGAACATATCCTTCCTCATCTAGTAACTCAGCCAGGAGAACCGGATTCTGGTAATGATTTTCGAGGCGATATTCCAACTCCTTGCACGAACTGTAATTTTTTTTGGGGCGCGCGATACCTTCTCCTTCATAGTAGAGGTGAACAACCGCTGGATCAGTACAAGTCGAAAAACCGGATAAGCTATACAGCACTTTGCTCGATTTCTCCTCTGCTAGCACTCGAACTGTTGCTGGAATGAACGTTTCCTTGCTAACTTCACACTTCTGCAATTTTCGAACAATTATTTAACAGCCGACAAAATCACCACGATCACCTACCCATTCAATCGGTTTGGACAGTGCTCGCAAAAATGTCAAACTTAATTGTGTTGTGCTTAATTTGAGGTCGTTGCGTGCACTACTTATGCGTGGCGACCGTTTGAGAGAGCTCCAGTAGTCGCTGCGTTTCGAGCAGCGCCACTCTGGCCTCCGGCTAACAAAGAGAACAGATTGGTTTGACAAGTGTAAAATAAATTACTGGCTCGTGCTGCATTTTGCTGCCATAATTCCAGTGTAGTGTTGCTCTATACTCTTTGCATTCAACAGGTTCTTCGGTAGGAGCTGCAGCAGTCGTTCCTTTGACATTTGGCCCTTTCGTTGGCGTTTCTGTAGTTATGGCTGGTTGCAAACCAGGACAGCGTCTTATCCTGAGTTTCTCACGATGCACTCCCCTCCCATCATTAGCAAAAACGTTTAAGCTAACTGCCGCATCGGAATTGTCATCAGCAGCCAGTTCTATGACCGGCACGAGTCTCGAAGTAAACTGGTGAACAGAACCCGGATGGTCATGGATAATTACGGTGCCAGCGATAGTTTTCTTCGTACCATCGTCGTTCCAAACGACTCCACTAGTGGTGATTTCTTGAATGCTGAACGAATCTGAAATGACGTGAAGAGTATAGTCGGTTTGTGCGATACAATCACCGTCTTCGTCAGCACTTTCAGGAGGCGATTCAGCTATAGCTCCATCCGAAAATGATACTGCATCCGTATCGTTTTCATCCGTCAGTTCATAGATACGCACAGAACCGATATCAGTAGAATCGTCCTCGGCATCACCATCGTGATCATCACCATAGTTGGCTTCAGCATGGCTATGGACGACTACAGAACAGGGATCCGGAAGGTTTTCGTTATTTCCAAAGACTGCTGGCTTATCCGCAAAATCCCCCTCGAATGATACTGCTGATGAGATTGTTTCGACCGAACTCTCATGATTTTTGTGCCTTGCCTGCAAACAATAGTTTTATGTCGTGTGAAAGGACGTATAGTAACCGTAACAAGCTGCAGAACACTGAAAACATGGAAGTTTTCTTCTTCTGCGTACGCAAAACAGATATCACGACAAGGAAATTCAGGCTGGAACGCACCGGTCGGTCCCGTGCCATCATACGTTTTTGCACCAGACTTGAAGTACTCAGGTTATTAACTGCATGAATAGTTGTTGCTTTACACCTACCTTTTGCGGTCACTAGCATAAATCACCATAAATTTTGCATATAGTAAATGTGCAATTCCCATTTAACGGTCGTTCTTTAAGAGTAACCTAGCTGTTTAGTAAGGAATTTTCCCACCAAAACTTTTAAGTGCACGTACGTAAGAACCGCGCATACCTCAAGGCTGTATTTGAAATATTTAAGTTGTGCTTGGGTAGGGGACATTACTCCAAAATTTCAGCTTTCTAGCTTCCCTGGTTCCCGAGTTAGCAATTTTTCCACCAAAAATACGCCATTACATGAGCACCGCGCATAGCTGGAGGCTGAATTTGAAATTTTTAGCAAACTCACGTACAAGGAACATCCCTACAAAATTTCAGCCCCTTACGTTGTCTGGTTCCCGAGATCGCGTTCCCGTCAAAAAATTTGAATATTTTTTTAAAGCGTCCGTGGGGGATGATACTAAAACGGGAGGGTCGCGCATGGTGTGGGCACATACTTCCAAAGTTTCAGCCTTCTAACTTTTTTGGTTCTCGAGTTGAAAGTGGGTGGCAAAAAGGGCGAACACACATACACATATACACACACACAGAGCCTCTTCCCAATATGCGTTTTTGCAATTTGCATATATGCAAAAACGCATAAAAAGCGAACCGACCAGATGCTCCTCCATCATAGTCGCATTTACGCCCCATGTATCCCTTACCTGTCACAGCGTTCTGTCTTCGGCATTGTCTCGTAAAGGTATCTCAGGCATCCTGTTGCCGAAATCGCATCAGAGGCCGTCAAACTGTTGCTAAAGTGTCTATTTGCAGGAAACAAACAACCCACAGGTCCGATAATTAACGCAGCACAACAGGAAATCTTGCATTCATGAAGGGTTTGCTCCTCTGTCAACCTGTACGGAACGTTCCAGAATAGGGTTCCGCCCGTGCGATGCGTTTCAACGCTCCTGCCGACATTTGCCGTCCTTACTCCGATCTAGTTGGTAACACTGAGGAAGGCATAATTGTTTTGCGGCTGCGCTGAGAATGAGGTTCAGTAATGCAAACATACCGTAGTTCGGTTAAAACTGGGTGCAGCAACTGGGAGAACGATGAATGCTAAAGCGTGCAACAAATGGTGCTGGAGCATAAGTTGAATATAGCAGACTGGCGCTGCTTGCTCTACAGCCAATTTTGGCCTAAAAAGGCCGACTACGTGGCGATTAATCCGATTGCTGGCAGCTCGGGAAGAAGCAGAAATGGCGATGCAGAAGACTGTGCACATCACATAGTGCTGCTACCAGCGAATCAGAACTGCTTCCGAGGGTTTGTAAGAGGTCTGCATTTTTCATCTATCATTTTACTGGGAATCTATAATCTGGTGCATCAAATTACGGCTCGACAACCTACTGCGGCTTGTTCACAGTACACCTAACAGCAAAAGTCTGACGACCAAGTGGATCATAATAATTGTATTATGACCGCTTAATAAGCCCTGTAACTGAAATCGTGTTTGACCGCCGAAAATCATAATCATTGGCAAGACGCACCGGGCGGGCCCGTGTGACGAAGCGTTTTGCAATATCTTGTGCTGTTGTAAGATCGCTTGGAATCAAAATAGCTAGAATTTATGACATACTGGTCCTCGAACAGGAAGTTAATCGTATAACTACCACGTGTACTTGAAAAGGGAACATCCTATTGAAATTTCAGCTTTCCAGCTTTTCTGGTCCTTAAGTTAGCCATTTCCTCGCCAAAAAATTACGCGGGGCCACACGTCAGAACCACACATTCCGGGGGCTGAGTTTCAAAACCTTAATTTCTAAGCACACGGGGAACATACCTCAATAAATGGCAACGCGCACCAGACTAGCCGGTGCGATCATGCGTTTTGTGCAATTCAACCCATCG